CCCATAACCATAACACCTGGCTGACCTTGTCCCCCTCGGCTCATCCTCCGCCCGCCCTCGGCCGCCACCCGCCCTTGTTGTTGCCCCATTCCGCCCATGTGCAGTACATCATCGGCGTCGGTGTCCTGTCCATGCCCTTCGCCTTCGCGTCGGCCGGTATCGGCCTGTCGCTGGTCATCCTGACCCTGGTGACCATCATCTCCTATGTGACGATGGTCTGGCTGATCGAGGTCCTGGCGCGTATCGAGTGCCTGCATGCCATCGGCGCCATCACCGCCGAGGGTGCTCCGGCCGACACCGTCGACCTGGAGGCCTCGCGCTCTCTCATCATCAACCCCCACGACAGCGGCCTGAACGTGGTCCCTGGCGATCGCATGCAGACCTCCACCTCCCCCCCGAGCGGCACCATGACCCCCTCGCCCGAGTCGCTGATTGCCTCGGCTCGGCGCTTCATGCAGATCACCGACCGTAAGTTCGAGCTCAACGAGGTCACCGGCTTCTTCCTGGGCAAGGCGTGGCAGCGCTTCTTCGAGGTGGCCATGTGCCTGTATCTCTTCGGCGCGCTCTGGGGCTTCGCCTCGGTCTTCGGCACCACCTTCGGTGAGACCATTCCCTTCATCGGTCTCTCCAGCAAGACCTGGCCCTGGTACGCATGCACACACACACACACGCACGCACGCACGCACGCACGTGCTCGACGCTTTCCTCCCTTGGTCAGCCTCCCCTCCCCGATGCGCCTGCCTCCCCCGCTCACACGACTGCCATGCGGCCTGGCTCGGCCCGCCCGCCTTCCCCACCCACGCACAGCTCTTTCTATGGCGACCCGGCCAACCTCCCCTCCGAGTGCATGGCTTCCTACCAGCTGTATGTGGTCATCTTCGCCCTGCTGGTGGTCCCCCTGTCGCTGAAGGACATGTCCGAGCAGACTTTCATCCAGATTGCCCTCTGCATTGTTCGCTTCGCTTCCTTCTTCGTCATGGTCCTCTGGTGCCTGAGCTTCCTCTTCGTCGAGCCCTATGACCCCTCCATCCCGGATCCCGGCAGCCCGCCCTACATCGCGCCCGGCCTGTCCTGGTTCAACATGGGTGGCTTCGGCATTGCCTTCTCCACCTGTGTCTTCGCCCAGCTCACCCACCACTCGGCCCCGGGTCTGGCCCAGCCGACCAAGGACAAGTCCAAGCTGGCCGTCGTCTTCCTGGCTGCCCTGGTGGTGACCTTCTTCTTCTATGCCATCCTCGGCACCACTGTCGCCCTGTACTTCGGCCCCTCCACCCAGCCGATGGTCAGTCTCAACTGGCAGTTCATTGGCGGCACCCCGGCCGGCCATAGCTACCCCTGGTGGGAGTACCCCCTGCGCTACTTCATCCTCTTCTTCCCCGTGGCGGTGGCCATCTCGGCATACCCCCTGACGGGTGCGTACCCCCCCCCCCCCCTCCCCAGGCCCGAGCCTCGGTGGCTCTTTCTTTTTCTTTCTTGCAAATCCTCCCTATTGCCGCACGCTCTGCCACGCCATCGGGCGGACCTGCCGCTGACCTTCCATCGTTTCCTCCCCCCCGCCCCCCCCCCCCCGCCCCTTTTGTTCCGTGCCCTCTTTGCAGCCATCACCTTCGCCAATACCGTCTACGCCGCGCTCCCCGCCGGCTGGACCAAGCAGCAGACCTGCCCCCGCTGGCGCCTGGGCACCCGGCTTTTCGCCACCCTGCCGCCCATTGCTTGCGGTCTCATCATGTTCGAGCTGTCCACCATCGTCCAGTTCACCGGTCTCTTCGGTGTCTTCATTGCCTTCCTCTTCCCGGCCCTGCTGCAGTGGCGGTCTCGCCGCGCGGTCCGCAGCGCTCTCGGCCTGACCGACGGCAGCTCCGATGACATGCTCAAGACCCCGTACACCATGCCCTACATTAGCTCCGACATCGCCACCTACCTGGTTGGGCTCTTCGGCTTTGGCAGTCTCGGCCTCATGATCGCCCTGATCATCTCGCCCGATCTGTTCGGCTAAATGCGCGGCGCACGGCGTCCTCCCTCCCTCGCCCCCCCCCCCCTCCCCCCTCCCGTCCTTGACACATACCTTTCCCCTCCGCTAGCCATGTTGGCTGGCGTGCATACGTGCTTCCTCTTTGCTTCCCCGCCCCTCGCGTCCTCCCCCCTCCTTCCCCCCCCCCCTCCCCCTGCCCAGCACGTGTGAGCACGCTTCGTCGTCTCCCTTCTCCATATGGCGGAAGCGCAAGTGAGGCAAGAGTTCAGGGGATGTGGCCGGCTCCAGGGATGTCCCTGTTTTCCTGCCCGCCCTCCTCTCCCAGTACACTCCCTCCTCCTTGGCACGCACATACACCAACCTGCCC